TCCAGCATCTGCAGTTCCTACTACCTCTGAACCAATCTATTATAATCCCATTTTCCAGCACTTGGCCAATAACCTTGGCATTACAAGGGTACGTCTAAATACTTCTTTAAATGATATGAAGGTTTCTGTCTCTACCACCTTTCTAGGCAGTGAGTTTCAGATACCACCCTCTGAGTGAAAAATAATTCTTTTCATCTCTAAATCTCCTGCCTCTTACCTTAAATCCATGCCCCTGGTCATTAATCCTGCTACCAAGGGGAAACATTCCTTCCTATCTATGCCCCTCATAAGTTAATACGTCAATCACTTCCCCCTCAGTCTCCTCTGCTCTGAAGAAAACAACCTCAGTCTATTCAATCTCTCTTCATAACTAAAACTCTCCAGCCTAAGCAGCACCCCTGTAAATCTCCATTGCATCTTACCAGTGCAATTGCATCCCTCCAATAACAAAGATTTCAGACGGCACACAATAGTCGAGTCATGGCATCACAAACTTTTTGTACAGTTTCAGCATAACCTCTCTGCTGTTAAACTCCATGCCTGAATGAATAAAAGTATCCCATATGCCTTCTTAAACACTTTATCTACCTCTGCTCTTTGGTGCTTCCCAGAGTCCTACTGTTCATCATGTATTCCCTTGCCTTGTTTGCCCTGTCCAACAGCAATACCACACTGCACTGTAGGGATTCCATGATTATAAATCACGTTTAAGTTATGGGTGTCATTCAAGGAGAAATTCCAATGAATGTGGCAGGATAAATCGAAAACTGCTGATATTTTGGGACTCTGAAACAAAAACTGTTGCAACTGTTACTCTGTCATCGTGAGTTTCATTCTAATTATGCTGGTCGAAGGATTTTCCTGAGTTTCCCTATTGGCCATTTTACATTCCGCTACAAATTTACATATCTCTACTGTGGTAATCAATGCACATCTTGTCACTGTTGTTGGAACAATGTTCACAATCGGAGGGCAGTCTAGAATGAGAGGTTATAGTTGAGGAGAAGGGGTAGCAGATGAGGAGAAATTACTTCCCTCAAAAGGTTACGAATCTTTGGAATTCACTGCCCCAGAATGTGGTGGCTGCTTGGATGTTGGGTAAATTTAAGGAGGAATTGGAAAGAGTTTTAATAATGGCTTGAAAGGCTGTGGGGAGGAGGTGGAAAGTGGAGTCGAGTCTAAGTCATGATAGCATCAAATGGCGGAGCAGGCTGGAGGAACTAAACTGCCTACTGCTGCTCCTACTTCTTACGTAGACTTTTCATCATGCGGTGAGAAGAGTTAGCAAACCATTGTCGGAGACAGCAAGAACTGCAGATGCTGGAGTCAGAGTCAACGAAGTGTGGAGCTGGAGGAACACAGCAGGTCAGGCAGCATTAGAGGAGTCGACGTTTCAGGTCGGGACCCTTCACGAGGACTTCACTGACTTCATCACGACTGCCTGGCCTGCTGTGTTCCTCCAGCTCCACACTTTGTTATCTCTGAATCCAGCATGTGCCGTTCTTGCTGTCTCAGGATACCATTGTCCCCGACTTTCTGGTATGAAGTCGCCAACAGACAGGGAACCAGCCTTGTCGGAGGGGCGGGGCTTCGGCGCCGGAAGTGGCGTGAGCCCCGCCCAGGGTGCTGTTGGCGGTTTGAAGTTGGTTGAAAATGGCGGAGGAAACACGTTCGGAGCTCGAGAAACTGCAAGATGAAGGTGCCGCTTCATACTCTTTTAACTACGCACACAGCGCGGCAGGATGTACAAATCCACAAGTTTTCATATTAGCCAAAGGACGAAATTAATAATAAAACGCACAAAGCGAGGTTTCCCCTGCCCCGCTCCGGAGGAGGCTGTGCAGCCAGTGCGGGATCAGTAGGCGGGCGGGCAGGGCCTCGAGTCTCTTTCCAACCCGCCACTGTACACAGGCTCCGAGCCCTTAGCAATAGTGCCTTCTTTTTGCTCGATTACATTAATCCTGTTTACGATTACATTACTCTTAAATATTTTAAATCTCGAATTCCATTTTTAAATAACGATTTGTTGATGTTAGTTTAAAAGTACTAAATTGCTGGTCTTCGAGCGAAAATTTCAGCATAACATTCAATAAAAACAATAACTAATTCGGACTTTTGAAACAAATTAAACTGGGAAACGCAATTTTTTATTATGTGTGTGTATACACAGATCTGGCTTACTCTTTTAGTTGAAAGAGTAATTAGTTACTTAAATATTTTTTTAAAATTGCTATGAAATCTGCGAGCTAACTCTTACTAAAGTCGTATAAAGCGAAATGAAAGCCAGAAGGAAATCTTACTGTGACCTAGTGTACATATATTCGTGGCTGAGATCCTAATAAAAAGTAGATAAAGACAGCGTGGAGTACCAATTAGGGAACAGAGGTTTGTTGCCATTTATATTTTTGATAATTGATCTCACTTTGCCAATTGCCATTTAGCATTGAAACAGATTTTTATTAGGGATGTTCATGATTTTTTGAATAGTATTTGAAATTCGAACCAAGTAACTCATTAGAAGCATGAAAGCCCCAAACAATAATAACATGACAGTATAACAACAGCACAATTTATGATTTCTGTAATAATTTGTAATCATAAATTTTGTATTTGACTTTTTTAGGAATGCTCAATTATCTTAATATATGCAATGACTGGTAACTCATAACAAAATGCCATGTGAAAATAGTGCTGGATGTATTCAGTGATTCAGAGTTTTGGCAACACGAAAAATCCAGTAGGACCAATACAGTACTAGTTGTGTTGGATCAGTAATCATTAAATTAGTGTATCCTTGTTGCATTGCTCTAGAATTGAATATAACAGTGTATTTAAACATTACAATATCTAATCTGGCTGAGGTAATTCATATTAACAGACATATTTAGAATTTACAGCATCTAATTGACAAATACAGTAAAAATGGTTCCAATTGTTAGCTGTAGGATTATCCTGTAAATAATTGTAAAAAATATGTGTTAAGCTCTTTTTAACACACTGCCAGTTCTAATTAGCCTCTTACCAATCTCAATTTTAGTAAACCATTTTTAATTAGCATTCTTAAATTGTTGTTAAGTCTTTTCAGTTTTGGGCAACAAAACTACTACCAAGCGATAAATAAATACAGAAAGCCAGAGTGATTAGACAGTTGAAAGCAGACCGTTAGAATTATGTTCTGTGTATGATGTGTATGTATATAATTGGTATCAGTCTCTGCTATAGTATTCATTTCTGGCTGACTAACTGTCAGGCTAATGAAAGAAAAATATTTTGGCTCTATAGCTGATTCCACATCAACATTGCAGAAGCTATTTAAAAACGGGTATATGCTTTTGAAATAAAAGCTGATAGTGCATGTGTTAAAACATTTGAACTTGAAACGTATTTACAAGTTACTTGTTCAAAACCAGACTGAACTTAGTCTTTTGAAAACTAGCAAGCCTAACTAAAGTAATTCTGTCTTGGAACAAATTTTATTCTGTAGCAGATGATCTATATGTATTAAATTATTTAATCTTTTTAAGCTTTTGCCTCATTTGCCATTCTGAACTTGGTCTTCAGAATTAACTTTAATCTCAATTCAAATTCAAATATCAGAAATTTTGAAGAATTATCTCTAATATATTTGATCACTGGAACAATGTATATTCTGTTGGCTGTTATTACTGACTAGAAAGAAATGAAAAAAAAAAGACTTTAAAAATTCACAAAGTAGAAACTGAAATGACTGGGACTGTAGCTCTTAGAGTAATTGATTATAACTTGACTATGTGAATCATTGTTTTTGAAATGTGGCCCATCTTGGCACTATGTTTGTCATCAGTTATTTTAGGATGTTGTCATTCTGGTGTTCCCCCAACATGGTTTATAACGTAACACCTGAAAGTCTGCAATTTGTACAGTCATTGGTGAATCTTTCCTCATTGTGGACCTTTGGTCTACCAAAATCTGTACTGTTTTGGTCCTGTGAATTTTCCTTTGGGGTCCAAGAAACAGGAGCACTGGATTAATCCTGCCCTGAAACTGAAATATAGAGTCCATCCATCTATGAAATGGTTTCTCGGTGCCTGCATCTACTGTATCTGACAAACAGTGGAAGAGACTACTGGTTCAGTCAGTGCATACCCACAGAAGCTCCCTAATACTTAATGAGGTTGCTGCATCCACCAAAGTGCTCGATAAAAGTATCTCATCTTGGTAAGTTGTTTCGACTCCACCAGGACTAGAAGAGAAGGAAGAGAAAACTGTGAAAACTAAGACTGTTTCTTCCAGTAATGAAGGAGAAAGTTCATCTCGAAGTGCAGAGAAAAGAGCAGCTGAAGAGAAAAATCAAGATGATTCTGCTTCCGGGGATGCAAACAACAAACCTACCCCTGCAAAAGTTTCCAAAATTGGATTTTCAATAGGAAGTATGACCGTAAAGAAACCAGCCCCAATATCCATCAAATTAGGAGCAAATGTAAGTAATTTTTTTTTGCTTTCTGTGTGTCAGATGGATATTTACAGTTTATCATAATGGATGTTTCTAACTGCAGATTCATTCTTTATATGATGTTAAAGGGGCAGCATTTTTGAAACATTGAATTGGGTATATTGAGCACTAGACAGGAGGAGGAATTCAGATCAGAGAATTAGCTGAAATCATAATTCAAGCAATGGAATGAGGCTGGAAATTAAAGTCTGACCCTCATATGGACATTAAAGCCATATTAAATGGTTGTATTCAGCATCAAATAAAATATATACTTCAAAATTGCTATGATTTTAGCTTGTTCTCTTCATGGCCTTCTACTTGAGAGAAATTTAATTGGTAAAGGATTAGAAATGATAATTCATAGTTGTGCTGAGAATTTGTCAGGTAGTTCATTCCCAGGATGTTCGTAAGCAGTTGATGTTAGTAGGTGAGGGTTTGCTCAGTAGAAGTCTTGAACATTACATTATAAATGCTTTGCTTAATTTTAATAAATGTAACATTTAGCACTTAGGAATTGCAAGCAGAGCTAAACATTTGAATTAAGAGTATTACTATTGTAATAAGACCTTTATTCAGTTTAACATGGTTTTGATGCTGACATGAGGTGTGCAATTTCATACTACTAATCCAAATTTGAATCATGCTTACTTGACTGTTGAATATATAATATATATATATAATATATATACAGTATATTGGAATATTCTTTTCAAAATATTCATAAGCTGTTGTATTCCTCTAGATCATTTTAAGCAGTATCTTTTCACACTGAGCATTTTCAAGATGGAGATCAGTAGGTTATTGATAAGTAAAAGATATTAAGCAATATAGAATTAAAATGGACACATATAGTTATGCAACAGCTTAGCCATGGATAATTGAATTACAAAACAAGTTTGAGGGACTGAATGACTTCAAGAGTAATCTGAATTCAAGACATATGTGCAAAGATTTATTTCTCAATAGCAGAACAATGAGTCCCCATTGCTAAAATTCATATTTGCTTTGGGGATGAGGAAAGAGGTGCTGAACTGCATCTTCCTTTAAAAAAATGTTTTTTCTAAATAGTTGAGCATGGTAATCCTCTATACCATTGCACATTGTAACTCAGAAAGATCACAAACTTGATCTGTGGACTCTGAGTTAACTTAACTCTAGTTCAAGCACTGAAATAGAATTTGATAGTTCGATAAATATTGAATAATCTGCCAGTACCCAGTGTTAAAAAAATGAGTAGCCATTACCTTTTTACATAAAACTGCATATCAATTTATAGTAATCTATTACACTTGTTGTAAATACCTAACCTGGTACATTCAATTTCACTTATTTTTGCATATATAGAGTGGAGATGTTTTCTCAGATGGAAGTCACTGGCAGTATCATATTTATTCCCCTTTTAGTGGTCAGAAATATTGGGACTTGAAACCAATTTGCATGTTCAACTTAAAAACTGGGTTTAAAAGATTTTTTTTGCAGTGACAGGATGGACAAAAGAGAAACAAGAAAATTTAGATAACTGGTTGAAAAGCCAAGAAGGATTGTAAGATGTTAAGAATGTATTTGTATTTCTGACCATATTCTCAGATTCTCCAGCATCTGCAGTTCCTACTATCTCTTGCTTCAATGGAACACTTACATTACACTGCCGAAAATAGTTCCTATTAGTGCAATTCCTTATAATTAGGTAATGTTGGATTTTTCATACCTGCTTTGCTAGCTGATTGGGAGGGCTAGTATGGAAAGACAGTTCATCCTGATTGGCCTGGTTTAGGGAAGAGGAGTTGATCTGTCCATATTTACACATTCTTAAAGGCATTAGGGAAAATTGTAAAGCTGAGTGAAAAGCATATGATTGGTTAGAGGAATAGAATAAATGGAAGTAGAGAAGTTATGCCAGAACTTTGTAAATCTCATGTGAGATCTCAGCTGGAGTATCGTGAATAATCTGGGCAGCATGATTCAGGAAAGATGTAAAGGCATGAGAAAAGATATAGAAGAGGTTTACCTGTATGTCACCAAATTCTGAGGAAAGGTTGGAAACATTAGGATTGTTCTCCTTGAAATGGAAATGTTTGGGAGATGGTGTAATATAGATTTTCAAGATAATTTGATAGAGGAGACAAAGAACAGTTTTTCCATGTGGTGAGTATGATAGGAAGGAAGATTAGCGCAGTAGTTTTGTTTTATTTGGAGCATTGTAATACTCAGCCTGAATTGTCTGTAGCTTTACAGCAGGAACTCATTCCAGAGCACCTAAGTTTCTTAACAGTCTAGTTGGAAAGCATACAAAAGCCTAGGCTTTATTATTTGAAGGAATAGGGCACAGAAACAAGGAATCATGTTAAACCTCTGTAAAACATTGTTTAGGCCTTAACTGGAGTATTATGTTCAATTTTGGGACTATACTTTAGGAACGATGTGACAACCTTGGAGAGAGTGCAGCAGTATTGAATGTTACCAACACTGACAGATTTTTGTCATGTAACGGGACTGCATAAGCTAGGACTGTTCTTCTTGAAGCTGAGCAGGTTAAGAGGAGATTTTGAAAATCATGAATGATTTTAATTGATTAAATAAAGACCTTCCAATGACAGGATGGTAACCCGAGAACGAGTACCAAGATATCTTGTTTTTACACAAAGCAACTCGTGATCCGAGATGCATTGTCAGAAAGAACGTTGGAAGCAGATTCGTTAGTCACATTCAAAAGACCTTTGGATAAAAACTTGAAGCGAATTAAAATACAGGGCATTGAGGAAAGAAGCTGCAAGTGGGAATAATCCAATAGGTTTACAGTGCTCATTTTATTTGTGAGGAATGATGTTCTTACACAGATTGTGTTAAGGTTAATATGTCTGGTTTATTCTAAGACCAAAAACACAATCACTTTACATCTGATTGGGAAACTCGTTTAAGACACCTCTATATTTGCTGTAGTTGACCTACGGTGTGTTATTAGAACTGAAATCTTATAATTTAATTTTATTCCTAGAAACCTAAAGAAAGTCCACCTGTTTTAGCTCCAAAGAAACCATCAGTTGCAGCTGTATTCAATGAAGATGAAGATGTAAGTACATAATTTTAAGTCATCTATAAAATTTTAGTTGTTGGGAGTAATACTGTTCCCTCACAGAGAAAGCAAGAGGAAAATATATTGTGAATGAAAGTTGTATAAATAACAATTCATTGATCAACCTAATAGTCCAATAACACAACTTATATTTATACTTAATAAAACATTCCAAGATGTTTCACGTGAACATTAGAAAGTAAAATGTATCAAGACCCAAAGGCAGATATTGGGTTAGAAGACTAAAATCTTGGTCAAGCCTGGTTGCTTGGAAAGTGTTGCTTCAGGGAGAGAAAGAAAGGTAGAAGGATGAAGATGTGTGGAGAGAGAACTCCAAAGCTATGGCCTGTGCAGCTGGTGACTAAGCAAGAAATGGTTGTGTGACTGAGATTTTGAATTCTCGAGACCAGAAGTAAGTGGGTAGATAAGTCGGAGAGTTGTGGGGTTGGAGGAATGGGAATGTGGGAAACCAACCAAGACTAGGGGGATTTGAATAGTCAAGATGCAAATAAACCACAGATGAGAGTTTCTGCAGCATTTAGGCTGAAGCAGGTTAAGTTGAGAAATGTAACAAAAATACAAATAGCCCTTCTTGGTGATGGCATGAATATTTGCTCATTAGTTCATTTTGGGGCCACATGTGACACTAAGGATTTGTACAAAGTAGTTTTGGGCTGTACTGCTGCCAGGTTGAATAATGTATCTGTTCTCCTGTTCTGAGTTCAAGACATCAGGACAGAAATGTGCATCTTGTTAACTGAATTGAGTCCCCATAAGACAAAGGAGCAGAAATTAGGCCATTCGGTCCATAGAGTCTGCTCCGCCATTCAGTCATGGCTGATAAGTTCCTCAACCCCATTCTCCTGCTTTCTCCCCGTAACCCTTGCTTTCTCACCGTAACCCTTGATACCCTTGATAATCAAGAACCTATCTATCTCAGTCTTAAATGTACTCAATGACCTGGCCTTCACAGCTTTCTGTGAATCCATAGATTCACCACTCTCTGGCTGAAGAAGTTTCTCCTTATCTCCGTTCTAAAAGGTCTTCCCTTTACTCTAAGACTGTGTCCTCGGGTCCTAGTCTCTCCTACCAATGGAAGCATCTTCCCAACATCCATTTTGTCCCCGTTTTTATGTTTATGTTTACTGTTGAGAGTGGGGTAAGAGAAGCTTAATTATATCTTTTTTAAATAAATGCTTTTGTCGAAATGGCTGAGCAACTTTTATCTAATGTATTACTGAGCTTTATAACCCGCAAAAATCTCCAGCTTAATCTTCTGGATTTTGAGTTAACGAATCAATGGGTTGAGGTGCTGAGAAAGGATTTGATAATTCAGAAACCCTCCATTGATGAGTACTCTGCCAGTATACCATGAAATGGAATTGGTTGCTAGGGAATAGAGTTTGGGGCAGGACTAGAAAAAATGTATTCAGCCTTCCTAATATTTAACTTAAGAACATCTCTTATCCAGATCCAGATGCCAGATTTTTAAAAATCTGATAATTTAGCAAGAGGAAAGGATTCAAGAGTAGTGGTGAGGTAAATCTCAGTATTGCGAGTGAACCTGTGAAAGTTATTTCTGTGCTTTTGGATGATGTTGCTGACCAACGGCAGCAGCAAAGGTTAGATTCATGGAGACAGCGGAGGTAATAATGCAGGTGAGGAAGAGTAATAGTCATCACAATTGATGCTGTCCCGTTACTAATGAGATACAGGTGAAATGACTGAACGAGCCATTCACTTGTATCATACTTCTCTGGCAAAGTCCAAAGAAATAAAACTGTCAGACCAGGTGGTCTTGACAAAGGCTTTGGCAGCAATTAAGGTACACCCTATCCAGGTTGTTCTGCAGAATTGGAGGGCTGCTCCACAAATCAATCAAACAACAACCCAATGTAATCGCACTTATTAATTCATTCCTTTCAACTCTGGCCCCCACCAGAGGGAATGCTAAGTTGGATCATTTCAAAGCAGGTCTAGCAACTTACTACTGAATAGCCATGAGATGCCCTGGACTACCAGCAACAGTGGCTGTAATAGTGTATTCAACTACTATCTGTAACCCCATTATCCTGGTATATCTTTCATTTATTGTTACCATCAAACCAAGTAACCAACCTTTGTTTAATGAGGGGTGAGGACAGCATGTAAGTTGCAGTAACAGGCTACCTAAGAATGAAATGCTGGCCTGGTGAAACTGCATCATAGGCATATATGTGTGATTAAAAGCAACATGCAATAGACAGAGAAAAGTAACCAAACTTCTGCATGGCTGCCACCTGTCATGAATTGTTGTGGATAGGTAAACAACTAACTGCAGGAGCATGTTTCCCAAACATTCTCACCCTCTGATGGAGTACCTAATGCATCAGTTTGTAAACTTGAGTAAAATATTTGCAAACCTCTTCAGCCAGAAATGTTGAGTGAAAGATCTATTTAGGACTCCTCCTGATATCCTTGCAATCACTTTGTGATATGCAAAAGTTCAGAAGGCACTGATGTAACAAAAGCCAATGCTCTCTGTACCAAAAGTAGTTGTGCCATGAGCTAACTTGACCCTATATTGCCATAACGTTGACATCTGCCTGGTTTATCATGTCCACAAAATGCAGGATGAGTCCAGTCAGCTACTGACTGGGCAGCACAGTGGTCCAGTGGTTAGCACTACTGGCTCACAGCGCGAGAGACTTAGGTTCAGTTACACCCTTGTGATTGTCTGTTTGGTGTTTGCGTGTTCTTCTTGTGTCAGCATGGGTTTCTTCCGGGTGCTTTGATTTCCCGTCTCAGTCCAAAGATGTGCACATCAGATGGATTGGCCATGCTAAATTGCCCATAATGTCCAGGGATGTGTAGGCTAGGTGGATTAGCCATGGGAGATGCAGGGTTGGGCGACAGGATAGGCGAGTGGGTCTGAGTGGGATGCTTTTTGACAGTTCGGTGTAAACTCAAGGGACTGAATGGCCTACTTGTGCACTTAGGGATTCTGTAGCTAATTGCCAGTCCCAGGATCTGCTGTTCATCTCAGAATGATAAAAGTATGATGTGTTCCTCAATGGATTATCCACTCAACGCTTTTCGCTAGAGTTCATTGTTGCCAAACAGTAATTTGCTCTGCAGTAATCTGCTAAATGTTGCTCAGTTTGAGTTTTGAAAAGGTCATTCGACTCCATATCTCATTACAGTCATGTTGCAAGTGTGGATAAAGAGGTGAGACAGGTGTGACTACCCTTGATGTCAAGGCAGCATTTGATTGAGCGTGGCCCCAGGGAACACTAGCAATGTTGAAGTCAGTGGCAGTCAGTCTGCATTCTACCTTGCAGAAAGGTTAATGATTGTGGTTGTTGAATGCTAATCAACATATCCATAGAGCATCATTGCAAGAGTTCCTGTAGGCCAACCATGTTCAGTTCCTTCATTGATGACTTGGCTGCATAATATGGTCAAAAATGGTTATAATTGCAGTGTTCAATATAATATACAACTTTTCAGTTATGGTATTGAAATAATCTTTACCTGCATACAGAAAAGCCTGAACAACATTCAAGCTTTTCTGATGCATGGCAAATACCATTTATGCCACACAGCTGTCAGGTAATGACTATCTCCAATGTGCAAAAACCTAACCGTCTCCCTTGAACATGTAGCAGTTACTATTGTTACTGAATTTCTCACGGTTGACATCCTGTGTCTTTGCACCGACCAGAAATTTAACTGGAGCAGCAACAAACCAGCGTCCAGGTTTCCCCTGTCCTTCACTCTCCTCCAAATTACCGAAAGCCTTTCCATTGTTTTTAAAACAGAAGCTCTCCATTGCAACCACTGAAGGGGATCCTTACTAAACTGATTTAGATCATCCAGCTATTTAGAATCCCTTACAGCAGGCCCAGCGAGTCCACACCGACTGTTCAAAGAGCATCCCATTCAGATTCTCCACCCTACAATTTCCCATGGCTCACCTACCTAGCCTGCACATCACTGGACACTACGGGCAATTTAACATGGCCAATCCACCTAACCTGCACATCTTTGGAGGAAATCCACGCAAACATGGGAAGAATGTGCCAACTCTACACAGTTGCCTGAGGCTGGAATCGATCCAGATACCTGGTGCTGTGAGGCAGCAGTGCTAACTACTGAGCCACTGTGCTGCCCCAATCTTCACCATTTGTTATCCTTGAGAAGGTAGTGGTGAGTTACCTTCTTGATTTGCTGCTGTTCATTTGCTGTAGGTACATCTAGAGTGCTGACATAGAGTTTGTTCTAGGATTTTGACCTAGTGAAGGTGTGGAGATATATGTCCATTTCAGGAAGGTAAGTGGCTTATGGGCAACCAACAAATGATATTCCTATATATTTGTTACCCTTCTAGAAAATAGTGGTTGCAGACATGGAAGACACTGTCTAAAGAGCATTGGTTTTTTTTTGTTTATTCATTCGTGGGATGAGGGTGTCGCTGGCTAGGCAGCATTTTATTGTCCATCCCTAATTGCCCACAGGGCAGTTAAGAGTCAACCAAATGGCTGTGGGCTTGGAGTCACATTTAGGCCAGACCAGGTAAGGATGGCAGTTTCCTTCCCTAAAGGACATTAGTAAACCAGATGGGTTTTTCCAACAGTCGACAATGGATTCATGATCATCATTAGACTCTTAATTCCAGATATTTATCGGATTCAAATTCTACCATTTGCTGTGGCGGGATTCGAACCCATGTCCCCAGAACGTTATTTGGGTCTCAGGATTAACAGCCCAGCGATCATACCACTAGGCCATTGCCTCCCCGGTTGTTGCAATACATCTTATAGATTGTAGCATTTGTAGTGAAAGGAGTGTACGTTTGTGGATGTGGTGTCAGTCAAGTGGGACAGTATAATGCTTTTTGAGTGTTGGTTGAGCTGCGTTTATCCAGGCAAGTGAGGAGTATTCAATCGCATTCCTGATGTTTGTGTGGTGGATAGGCTTTAGGGAATCTGGAGGTCAGTTACTTGCTACTGGATTCCTAACCTCTGACTTGTGTTTGTAGCCAAAGCATTTATTTGGCAAGTCCAGCTCAGCTTCTGGTCAGTTGTAACTCCCAGATTGTTGGTAGTTGAGGAATTCAACGGCAGTAATGCCATTGGATGTCAAAGGGTGATGGTTAGATTTTCTCTCGTTGGAGATGATCATTGTCTCTCACTTGTGTGGCACAAATATTACTTGACACTTGTCAACCTAAGCCTGGATATTGTCCAGGTCTTCCTGCATTTGGACATAGATTGCATTCATATCTCAGGAGTTGAAAACGATGATGAACATTATGTAATTACCAGTGAACGTCCCCACTTATGCCATCAAGATGGAGGAAAAGTCATTGATGAAATGGCTGAAGATGATTAAGCCTTGAACATTACTCTGATAGGCTCCTGGATGAATGTCTTGGAACTGAGATGATGACCTCCAGCACCCGACGTTACCTTCCTTCATGCTATGTATGACTTCAACTTGCAGAAAATTTTCCCTTGATTCATTACTTGCTTTGTTGTGTGTAATTCCAACAACACTCAGCCTGATATTATCTAGTACTGAACAACGGCTTGATCAACATACCATCCACTACCTTAAACCCTAACTCCCTTCAGGACACAGTGGCAGCACTGTGTACATCTACGAGATGCATTCAACAATACACCAGACCTCCTGAGATATCATCTTCCATGCCTGTAACTCTACCATTTGAAGAACAAGAACAAGTGGACAGGAGCACTGCCATCTCCAAGTTCCGTTCCAAGTAGCACACCATTCTGCCTTGGAAATATATCGGTGTTACTGGTTCAAAATCCTGGAACACCCTTTCCAACAGCATTGTGGGTATACTTGCACCAGATGAACTGCGGTGGTTTTAAAAAGCCAGATTGCTGTGATGTTCTCAAGAATGGGAATGGTCAGTTAATGCTTTTGATTAGCAACTGATCATGTTTTCTGGCTGAAGTAGAAAGTTAGCTGTTACAACGTCCTTTTAAAAGTGGGCGAGCATTGTCAAAAAATGCATATTTGACTGAATCATAGTTCTGATTACCAGTGTCTACAATAAGTTAACAGATATTCGTGGGACAGGGTACTTGTGATTTATCTTCTATGTCTTTCTAAACCAAACTAAATAAAATAAAGCATTATCAGCTTTTCTTTCTCCCTGTTATCCATTCCTTTTTCTGCCTAACCATTGTTCTCTCTCTCTCTGGGCTCTACCTATCCACTAACTCCTTTCCCCCACCCTGAACCCTGTCTTCAGCATATAATACCACCTTTTCCTAGTTAGTATCAGTTCTGAAGGAGGGTCACTGGACATGAAATGTTAACTATGTTTTCTCTCCAAAGATGCTGCCAGACCTGCTGAGTTTGTTCAGCAATTGCTGTTCTTGTGTTACATCCTTCATTCTATTTTTGGGTAGAAAATAATCCTGTTGGTCAATTGTAGCAAAACATTTGCTATTTGTATGCAGTCTTTTTAACTCCATACAATGATTTATTTTACATGGATTATTTCAGAAGTTCAGATATCTTATTGTAAGTCAACTTTTCAGGCCAGTTCTGGATTTAATGAAATAACTTGCATTTGTGTAACCCCTTTCACATGTTGAAATATCCCAAAATATTTGATGCATTTACTTAACATGTAGTTTTTCAACTAAATATGGACATTAATTTAAGAACAGGGTTCTGTAGACAGAAGACAAGATTAATGTCTGGTTTGTTTCTGGTGAGGAATGAATGTTGACCGCAATCTTGGGGGAGATGTCTTTCTCTTTGAATTGTACTGTGGGAAACTTCTGCATCCACCTGAACTGGGAGCTGGGGCCTTGGGCTCGTCTTGTGTCCTGAACCTAATAGAGTGGACTTTATATATAGCCCACCCACAGTGGGGAAAAAAATGGCTGGTGCTTTTAAAATTGTACTTCATTTTATTCTTTTACTTCATTTTTAAACCATTTTAAATAATTTTTAACACTAAAATAAATGCTTGCTTGTTGCAGAATTTGCTGATTATGGTTTCTAAAATGTTATATGAATATTCATCTAGATATTGCATCCTTGCTATGTAACCAGTGACGTACTTTTTGAGAGTTACATTTTCCTGCATTTTGATGTCCCTTTGCATTTGGGAGAGTTTTAATTTTGTGTAGGCACGGTGCCACAGAAAAGTTGTATATTCTTCAGAATACTAAGAACTCCTGTGAAGATGGGTTTTCTTAATGACGAAGTTCAGTTGGACTTTTGCTTCAGGAATCCAGTGATTGTGCAAGTTGCCTTCTGGCTCAACATGATGGATAGAATTTTTGCCCAAGAAATTTGAACAACCCAGTTCTTCCAATTTAGTTAACTAAGGTTAGGTTTGAAATATAATACAAAAGGGTTGATCGGTGGTTAACTGAATCCTTTATTTCTACTTGCAGAGTGAACCAGAGGAAATGCCTCCTGAAGCAAAAATGCGCATGAAGAATATGGGACGGTATGTTTTAATAGTTTTTAAAAAGTAAAGTTCTAAGCATTATCTGGAACAAGACATTGCTAGGCTACCCTGTAATTTAGATTGAAGAAATAATGAGATAAGACTGAAAGCCCAAATTAAAGCTTGGTAAGAATACCAGTTAGCAATAAATGCACTTGTTGGTCACAAATACATCACAAGAAATTATATTTCACATCATCCCCCAAGCAGTCATTTGTTGATTCTGCTCATTAGCAACTGACCAAGTTTGCTGGCTGCCGTAGAAAATTGGTCTTTATTGCGTCCTTTCAAATGTAGGCAGACGTTATATTAATGTTGTGCCACCCTATCAAAATCCACTTTGTACTGTACTTATCCACAGGACATTAATTCCTTGTCAAGCATAGGGATTAAAATTGAGGTTGAGATTGTTTTTATGCCTTTTTTAAACTTGCTTTACTGGTCAGATAATTAAACACACGGAATTCCTCAAAATCGACTCCTTTCAAGTTATTGCTTCCGAAGCTATTGAATTAAAAAATGTTAGTTTCCCTGTGTTTTAAACAAGACAAACTCCACCATCAATCAATAATAGCTTGTGTCATTTTCTTGCAGCCTACATGCAAATTCATCATCACTTAAATTCGCTGAATCTCGTTAGTTGGGTTTTATAATCACTCTGGAATAGATGTTTTGTATCTGTCCAGTTTCACTTCTTATCAGACCTCCTGAAACAAAGTTTCATCAAGGTTCTAACTTTGCATCAAGGCAAACACTTTAGTTAGGTAAAGTTTAGCTGTGAAGAATGCTTGTTTGCAGAACTGTAACCTCTCAGTGGGCCATCAGTGTACTTTTTCCCAAGGTCTTTGAAGAAAGGTCTTGCAGTATCCAACTGCATGTTACTAAGGGGAGACAGTTGCTTTCTAGTCACCATAATCCATGCCCCTCAAAATTTTAGATGCCACTATCTAGTCCCCCTCAACCTTTTCTGCTTCAAAGACAACAAGCGAAGTTTATCCAGCCTATCTTAGTAGTTGAAATGCTGTATCCCAGGCAACATCCTGGTAAATCTCCTTTGCAACCCCTTCAGTGTAATCACATCCTTCCTTTAGTGGGCGACCAGAACTGCACACAGTACTCCTGCTGTGGCCTAACCAAAGTTCAGGTTCAACATAACTCCTTGCGCTTTTAATCTATGTGCAATTGATAAAGGTGTACCTTCTTAACTACCCTAATAACCTGTCCTGCCATCTTCAGGGATCTCTGGACCAGCACCCCAAGATCCTTCTGTTGTTCTGAGCTTCTGTTATCTTGTTCCTTCTTCCAAAGGCATTTGTCAGGGTTAATGCCCATCTGATCAATCTGTTTATCATCCTCCTTGATGCCGATCACTTGGCTAATCTCTTGAGTCATGCGCGCACACACACGCGCGCGC